AAATGGGCCAGTTAATGTGTGTTCATGATAGAAGACCCCAAATAGGAGATCTAAATGCATTGAATTCAGCCTGGGAATCCAGAAACAGATGAATTTATGTATCTTCTGGATGGAAAACAAAACTATCAATATGACCTAAACTTCTTTTAGGCTGACTGCATTTGATTCCTTTAAGCAAAATCAATAAGAAGAGATGCTGTTCACATCACCCTCCCTTGTTCCAAAGAGCTGAGGAAACTTGGCTTTGTTCTCCATCTGGTCTCCACTTGGTATTTAAGGAAGGGACAGAGAGATTGGGAAACTTTAAGTCGTTCACATCTTGCTACGAGTTCATTGGCACGTACACATGTCTGTGGGTGGGTACGATAAGAAAACAATAACTGTTTTTCTCATTCCTGACCATTCTGCCCCATTCTTTTCCTAAGAAAACTGTGGCTCAGGAGGGCTTCCTCTTCAAACTGGCTGGATCACATTTTCCCTAGGTCAAAAAGGTAAGCAAGCGTCTTGCCTTAAAGGGCCTATGTTTGTAATTTCTGCCTACCAGATATAAGCAAAAATTCTGTTTAAGTCAACAAAGCATGCAATTAAGCAAAATGAAAGATGATGTCAATACAGACTTCAAAATCAGCATGTGCTTAGGGAAGCATTTCCCAGTTGAGTATTGTTGCTTCCTAAGCCTGAGAGCTGGCCAGAGCCACACCATCACAGTCATGATCAATAATCCTGGTTGTGTAAGATTCTCCCCCATACTATTTAATATGCTGTTTCTTCCCAGCTCACATCACACCAAGCTACCTAAAGTTGGTTTGCGCTTATTTCATTGAGTACCTACGGTGTACTGGGCACTGGGACAGGTGTGTTAAACCTTTTTTCTCTCTGGCTTCTAACTTCCTCCTCTCACATGGGACCTCATAGACTTCTCCCTTCTAACCAATCCTCACAACAGCCCACAGGGGGAGACAGCATCCCCACTGGCACAGCTGAGGCAATGGAATGCCTTCAGAGAGGGTAAGTAACTTGCCCAAGGTCAACCAGCTACCAAAAAGCAGAACCAAAATTCAAATCCACATCAGCTGACTCCAAAGTCAGTGACGGTGTGCCTCTTGTCTTCTAACAACACCCATAGATGATGCCCTCAACTCACGCCCTTGCCTTTACACACCTGTCACTGCTTTCTGGCTACAGGGTTGGGGAATCTCACGACTTTCCTTATTCTCATCTTGAAAGTGTTGGTGCTAAAATGCCACCATGTTGCCATGCCTTGAGTTTGAAGAAGATAGATATTGCCTTAACCACAAACACACAAACGCCAGACTCAGCCAGTTCCCCAGTATAACTAAGCCCTTCTCCAGGTAGAGATGGGAAACAAGGCCTGCCAAGGCTGAATCCCATCAACCATTCCTCATGGGCTGCACATGCCTCCTGCCCCTCGACTCCTTTCTCAGGTGAATGGCATGAGCCAATAAACAAGGTAACTGAATTCACTTTAGGCTATTTACGGTCTACTCCAGTCTATCCGTCTTCCCAGAGAATTGCCTGGGTTATTCTCTCCTACCTGTCCTCTAGCTCTGACACTTTTGCCAACAGGCAGCCAGAAGAAATAGAAGGTAAGAGGCCAACACCATGGCTTGGGAGATTTTAGCAGCTCTGGTCAGGATGAATATGGAAGCTATTGGTTGATGTGAGGTTTGGGGATGATCTCTGTTTTCAAATATTCATAATCCCTCTCCCTCAGGCTGGATAATTGCAGATCTCTTTACCTCGTTTTGATCTTCTTATGCCCTGCATTGCACACATAGTGCGGGGTTAATGAATACTCTTAGATGGATGACCGAGGGTATGTGGTCACTTACAGAGAATCCTGTACGAGGCTCTGTCACAGCCACCGTCTGCTAACTGTCCCACATGTGTCTGTGTTGTTTTTTGTTGTTGTTGTTGTTTGTTTTTCCTTTTGAGGCAGAGTCTCGCTCTGTCTCCAGGCTGGAGCGCAGCGGCGTGATCTCGGCTCACTGTAACCTCCGCCTCCCAGGTTCAAGCGATTCTCCTGTCTCAGCCTCCCGAGTAGCTGGGATTACAGGTGCCCACCACCACACCCAGCTAGTTTTTGTATTTTTAGTAGAGATGGGGTTTCACCATGTTGGCCAGGATGGTCTCAATCTCCTGACCTCGTGATCCACCTGCCTTGGCCTCCCAAAGTGCTGGGATTACAGGCATAAGCCACCACGCCCGGCCTCTGTGCTGTTAATGTCCTCTTACTTCTTTGTCCTCAGTCTGATTGTCTAACAAGTGCAGATATCCACTCTGAACATTTCATCTCGACAGCTGACATCAATACTGGCCATCCTGAGATTTATCTTTTCATATAAGAAAATATTATACATTGGAGACCAGAGCTTAGAATGGACAAAATTGTCTTCTAGAAGTGCCACTATCACAGACAGGCAGCTGGGGCAGCCTCAGGCTGGTTCTAGCCAAGTTGAAAGAAGGTAAGAGTTAATGGCGTAAGAAAATAACAAGAGGGCCTGTTGGGCAGGGAAAGTTCTGCGTGGAGCACAGTACTCAGCACCCGCGACCTCAGTGGAAGCAATTTCATTATCCTTTGCTTTCGAGGCCCTCTCCCTCTCTGAGGAGGCTCTCTGCATCTTGACCTTTGGTGACCTCAGAATTTTCTGGCAGCCGCTGGAACCAGGGATCATCTTTTCAGAAATCTGTTTGGCATCGTTCCGTGACTTATCTTTCAGCCCTCATCACCATTATTCATGCTTTGGCAGTATCCTAGCTACAGACACAGTACTCTTCTTGAGCTGATACTGAAGGTTACTCCATCCCAGCCGATGGAGAAGGAAGGCGCCCACTCCTCAGGACCCTGACTCCAGGAAGCATGCTCCCTGTGAGGGCAGGTGCCTAAAGGCATCTATTCAGAAGCTGATCTCAACCTCCAGCCCTTGTGAACAGGCAAATAGGTGAAGATAACACAAAACAGGAACTGGTCCCCAAATCATAGGCAATTTGGCTTTGGAATGCATTCCAAGGCACATTTGCTGTACACTTGTATGCACATTCATCCAAACTCAAATGCTAAACTCCACCAGCTGCCTCTGGACTACATAAAACCCCCAAACCTTTATCTCTTCATTAACGATGGCAAATATTTTCTGGCTTTACCTTTCTTCCCCACTTTAACATCCTGCTTCTATTCTGTGGCCTGCACTTCCTGCTTTGTATATTTTAGATTACTTTAGACATGACCTCACATCCTGGCCAATTGCACAGTAGCTGCTAATTGCTAGAGCTTTGCTAATGGCCTGTACATCGATGAAGAATGAGTTACAAGCAGCAAAATCCAGAAGACAATAAGCTAGTGTGGATTAGAGCTGGGGCTCTGGAGGGAGACAGACTTGGGTTTCAAGCTCAGACTGTGTGGCCTGGGGCAACTAACTTAACCTCTCTGAATCTCTGTTATCTCGTCTAAATGGATATTATAACAGCTCCTACCTCACAGGGTTGTTGCTAAAATAAATACTGGATAATGCCTATAAACGACTTAGCACAATGCAAGCTATTGTTATTACCATGTAGGCTTTCAAATTATGAAAGAGCTTTCTTCCTCTAGAGTCTACATATTCCTGAGATCCTGCCGAGCTATTCTGCTCCATCTCTACCCTGCACCTGCCCAGCCCCATTCCCCTGACCAACCACTTCCTCCAGGTAGCATTCCTTGATTGAGCAAAATGCACACAATTATGCATTTGCATTTTCTCTCTATTGTTTTATGTTTTTCAAGGGTTTCATATGGGTATTTACATTTTCCCCAATTCACACACCAAGCTTCTCCAAGATCAAGAAGCCTTACCTTCAGCAGTATCTCAGGTAGTACAAACCCAAGAGCAACATCCCTAGTAAACAGCCAGATCTTCAGAACAAAACGTGGAGACTACCTTTTAAATTGGCCTTTTGCATCCTTTGCAAAATGGCTCTCTTATTTATCAAAGTCTCTCTTGTACAGTAAGCGTATCAGAAGTTCATCTGAAGGAAGTATACAGAGGCAGGAAGCACTGACATTTCCCCCCACCATGAGGTCCCCAAATCCATTCCTTCTCCATCTGCCAAGACATTCATCCATGCTCTAGTTATTTTCCACATCACAGTATTTTCTAAAATTACTCTTTCTGGAGCCCTTCCTCACCCCTTCACTATCTCACTTGAGTCTATCCATGGCACCATTTTTCCCCCTGTTCTCTTAATCCCCCTTGGTGCACACAGAACTTTCACATGAGCGATATTTGCTCCATCATCATCCGTCTCTATTCGCAGAGCCCACTTAGGCCCTCCAGCTTTGCTCTCCGGACTCTGACTTCCTGAACTGTGGTGAAGTAGTCCCCCTCCTTGCCAGGTCTTGAGATGTCCATGTGGAACTTTCCGGCCCGGCCCATTTGTACATGAATGTTTCACGCAACACTCTACAACATCACTTCTGCTTCTATGGGTAGCCAGCAGGGCCCTGTGTACAGGCATCATCTGTTTAAACTGAAATCTTGTCATTTGTCATGGCAGTTTTATTTATGATCCTGTGTGCTGTAACCTTGTGGCATAAATATTAAATAATAATATCTCTTGGGTTAAAAAAAAATCATTCATGTTAACTGACAACTTCTTATGAAAATATGAAGTAAGCCCAACCACACAATTTGGTATTGGCTCATTTTGAAATATGAGTAAAGGCACGGATTGCTCAACAGGTAGATGCACAGGCAGAATTATAATTTCCATTTTTACACCTTCTTGCTTCAAGAAATGAAACATTCAAGAAGTAAAAAACGTTAAAAGAAACGGGCTGGGTGGCAAATTTCTTCAGAATCAAATTCTAATTCCTGCCAGTATCTCCTAAGTAGTTTTTAGCTTCCAAAAAGGAAGACGCCAAATAATGACAATGCCATATAAGTGAAATGAATTCTGGACAATGACACTGCTCATTTTTTTTTTTTTTTTTTTTGGCATTCTGATTTCCTATTACATCAGTTTCATGATTCAGCATTTTCCATTTCATTTATTTACAGTAATATATGGCGAGATAACCCAAGGTTTCTGCAGGATTTTGGAACATAAGGTACGCTGGGCAGGAAGGGTGTCGCCTTCTGTAAATTTACTATTGTTTGGGAGAACTCAAAACAGAAGCAAGCAAGCCATCAAAGGAACTGAGAAAATTTCTCCCCACCTTGTTCTGAGGGCTCTCAACTACTCTGGTATTTAAAATAAATTGGTTTTGAAAAATAGGTTACTGCCCTTTAGTTGATGACTAAAACAAAAGCCAAGAAGTGTGCAAATTGCAAACTGACATGCATGAGCCAAACATATTCTCTGAAATGACAATGTTCAAGACGCAGCTAAAGTCACCGCTCTGGCGATAAGCGTGTTACAGAGAACTAGATTTCTTTCCGGCATCCGCAACTTGGCTGGAGTGACCAAGGAGGAGTTGAAGAGCGCTGGAGATGCGAGGTGCGTTGGCAGAAAACCGTCCGGGCCGGGAGGACCCGGTGGAAACCAAAAGGAGGGTCGAGGCGGGTGGCGGGCGCCGAGAGAAAGAGGCGAAGTTGGGCACGGGAAGGAAAGGAGCTGCGAGTAGATTGAGAGGGAAGCCCAGAAGGGGTGGGGGGTTGCGGGGGTGGGGGGGCTGGAGACCGCGCGCGGCGAGGCGGAGAGCGAACTCCCGGCGGCGAGGCTCTCGGGTGGAGTCCAGGACAAGAAGGAGTCTCGAGGGGAACCCGACCCGGGTCTAGAGAGTCCGGGAGGGAGAGGAATGGGCACGAACGAGAGAGCAGCGCGGCAAGTCCGGTCCACGCGCCCCTCTCCACGCCCGAGGTACCCATCCCAGGTGCCGGGAGCGCCCGGGGCGCAGCGGCTAGGAAGAGAGAAAACTAGCAGCGGCGTCCCCGCCCCGCGTGGCGGGTGTCCCCGGCCACCCCCACCCGCGTCCCCGGGGCCCCGCGCGGAGAGGAGGACCCGGGCAGGGTCCGGCGCTCACCAGGTAGCAGAGGAGGAGCAGCGCACAGGCAGGGCGGCCGCCGAGGCCCGGGGGGACGCCGCCACTCGGGGGGGCCATGGCTGCGGCCCGGGGGCAGACCGCGGGCGGCGGGGGTTGCTGCTGCTGCTGCCTCGGCCACCCAAGCCCCGCGCCGCGCCGCTGCATGGCGAGGCCGCCCGGATCCGGGCCGGAACAGGTCACCTGGTGCAGGGACCGGCCCCCGCCCGAGGCGCCACCTTCCCGCCCGCCCCCGGCCGGGCCGGCCGCCGCGCGCGGGGCCACCTGCCACCACCTCCGGACCCGCCGCCGCCGCCGCCACTGCCGCTCCCGCCGTCACCGCCCCCGCAGCCCCAGCCGAGCGCCGGCTCCTCCCCGCCTCCCCGTCCCCGTCCCCTCCCTCCCCTCTGCCTCCCTGCCCAGCCCGCCTCCTGGCCGCTCCCTTCGGCCCCCGGGCTTCCACCCTTCCGGGCAGCAGGCGCCCACGCAGGTGGGCACCGACCCGGGTCCCGCCCCTGGCCGCTGCCACCCCCAGCCCGGGTGGCTGGGCCCCGGCGCACCCCCCTTTCCCTTTCTCTCCGCTCCTCCCCCGCCCCCCTTCCGCGCTCCTGCTCTCCGCGATCCCCCTCCTCTCCCTCCGGCTCCCTCTTCCCTTTCCCCTCCTGCTCCCAAACCCCCTCTCTTTTTCACTTTCTTCTTTTCCTCCCTTTCCTCTTTCTCCCTTCCCATCCTCTTCCTCGCTCCCGCATTCTCTTTCTCCCACCCACCCTTTTGCCGGTCGCACAGCCCAGTTCCCGCCCGTGCAATGGGTTTTTGTCTGGTTGCTTTTTTGGCCGGGGCGCCATTCCCGCAGGGCGCAGGGCGAGTGTGCCCCCTGGAGTTGTGCTGCGCAGCTGCCCGACTCCCAGGCCTTCAGGATGGATTTTGACCCCTGCCAACCTCCACCTGTCCACCTGCGGGGTTGGGACCGCCTCCTTCCTGGCACGTTTGCAGCCCAGCTGCGCCCCACCCTGCCGGCTGGTTCGCTGCACGTTCTGGATGTTTCCCGAGGGTTTTGTGTGGTGCCGCCGCCGCCGCCACTACTGCGCTCTTTGTTTTAATTGTCCAGAGTATTGGCACCCAGGACGGGTTTGTATTTGGTTTGCATCCCTGTGCTCCAGCTTCCACTTTGGACAGAAAAGAAAATGAATTAATTAGGTCAATACAGTAATACTGGAGCCCCAAATAAAAGGGGTGAGGCCCTAGAAGTGCGCAAACAGCTTTTTAAAAAACCAGGACACATCCTCGGCCTTCGGGACGCAGGTTGAGACTGGCTGCTCGCCTACCCGGGTTCTGCGGCCTGGCGGAGAGGGACCGCCGGGTGGCGGGACCACCAGCTTGCCGCCGGCTTTGGCGTTCAGGGAAGCGCTTGGCTGTGTCTAGCGGCTCCGACAGCTATCTGGGCCCGCAGCTGCTGCTCTGAAACAGTTAATCCACCTTCCAAAGTTCGCAGAAGCTTTCCTTTGGCACTGGTAGATTTGTGCGGATCGGAACAATAGCCTGGGAGCCTGAGAGGCCACAGCCCTTTCCCTGTGCCACGAGCATAGGTCAAGTCACAACAGACGTCGGGGAGAGGCTAGTGGAGAGACAGGGTGCCCAGGGTGGTTTGACGGGCGTGGGCATCCCCTGCGCCTGGATGCACCCTCAGCTGCTCAGTACAGGCCTGGTCATACCGGGCATGGCGGCTCCTCAGCTGTCATCCACTTTTTTTTTAGGTCACCTAAGAGCTGTGGACCTGTGTAAGTCCCCTGGCCTTATTCCGCCGGTTCTCAAACTTCAGAATTACCTGGAGGGATTGTTAAAACACAGATTCCTGGACTCCAGCCCTAGAATTTCTGACTCAGTTGGTCCTGGGAGGGACTTCAGAATGTACCTTTCTAACAAGCTCCCGGGTGATGCTTACGCGCTGGTTCAAACAGCCCTCCTCCATCTCCAGAACTATTGGCTTTTAGGAAACTGGGCTCCTGCGCCTCCCAGCCAGCTGCCACCACAGTAAAGCATTTTGGGGGTTTTGACAGACGTTCCCACTACCTCTGTTCCACTTCAGCAGAAACAAAGCACTTAACATTCTCCTGTGTGATGTGGAAAACCATTTATTCTATCGAGTGTCCAAGGGAACAAAAGATTTGGTGGCTTTGTCCCAGATCCTGTCTATATCTTTTCCATCAGGTCAAAATACAGACTATACTTTTAATGTATGTGGAAGGAAAATTGTCGGCCAGTTCAGGGGAAGGGGGCTTCAACAGGCATTGCAGCATTTCTAGGGTTGCCACCTGTCTTCCTGGGCCACTGTCCGGGGTTTCTCTCTTCCCACATTGCACACAGACTCTGTTGGTCTTCAGGGAGCCAAACGGTTCCTTCTGGTTGTTTGTAATCAGGATTCATGGAATTGGGAGTTTTCAAGGCTTTGTGAGCTTTGAGGGTTTGGGTTTACCTAAGTGTAGGTAACAGAGCGCCCCATTGGGGGCTGGGCTGTTTCTAACCTGCCATAACCAACCGCTCACTTCTCCCTTCTTACTCATCCCCTATTGTGTTCCTCCTGTGGATTGGGTACCACCAGAGGCCCCAGGATTCCAGAGGTAGGCAGAATGGCTCTATTTCTACAAGGAGCATCGGGCATGCAGAAAACCTGCCAGAGTTTGGTCTTCTAAGAGGTATGTGTGAGTTGCTCTCTCATCCTGGGCTAGAGCTGATGGGATTAACTGTTTCATCCTGTATTGGAAAGGGGGAGAGAAAACGTCAGGATTTCTTGTCATGGGGGAGTGGGACATTTTGATCCAGAAGATAGAATCAGCCCTCACTCTTGCGTCTCTCCAGCAGTTTGTGTCAGTCATTGAGAGGGCGTTGTCTGATTTCAGAAGAAAGCCCTTTATTTAAAAAGAAATATATTTTCTCATTGTCCCATGGAAGGGCTTGAAATCTCACCATTACAATTCATCAGGTTAAATTAAGTTTTAATACTCCACTAAAAGTTGAAGGCCCCAGGGGGAGATTGGCCTCCCTTATTACTGCCTTGGTGTGAGTCAGTTTATCACATGCCCTTGGAAAGGGACCAATTCCACACCTCAACACGGGAAAGGACAAAGGCACAGAGTCCTGAGCTCATCACCGCCCGCCCCTAGGAGGAGACTCCAGAGGGCTGGAGGGAGGGGCTGGAGAAAGCACTGCATCTGCATGCCTAGGCAGCACATCATAGCATTCCAGGCAAGGTGTTCTGAGGCTCTGAATTTTTTTTTTCTTTTTCTTTTTCTTTTTCTTTTCTTTTCTTTTCTTTTATTTTTTTTTTTTTTTTTTTTTTTTTTTTTTTGAGACAGAATCTCACTCTGTTGCCCAGGCTGGAGTTCAGTGGCATGATCTCAGCTCACTGCAACCCCCACTCCCTGGGTTTGATTCTCCTGCCTCAAGCCTCTTGAGTAGCTGGGATTACAGGCACCCGCCACCATGCCCAGCTAATTTTTGTACTTTTAGTAGAGACAGAGGTTTCACCATGTTGGTCAGGTTGGTCTTGAACTCCTGACCTCGTGATCCACCCACCTAGGCCTCTCAAAGTGCTGGGATTACAGGCATGAGCCACCGTGCCTGGCCCAAAATGGTTTAAGATCAGTCACGTCTCAGGGACCAATGCACTTGGTCAACGATTACCTTACTGGGCAAAAATAGTTTTTATAAACTAACTGCATATACTATCTTCTGTCAGTATCATTTCATTAAAAAGACAAGGCCTGTTACCATCAAAAAATTACAAAGAGCCTAACATTCTAAGAAAAGACTGGGTTGGGTGCCACGGCTCATACTTGTAATCTCAGCACTTTGGGAGGCCAACACGGGTAGGTCACTTGAGCCCAGAAGTTCGTGACCAGCCTGGGCAACATGGCGAAACCCTGTCTCTACTAAAAATACAAAAATTAGCCAGGTGTAGTGGTGTGTGCCTGCAGTCCCAGCTACTCAGGAAGCTGAGGTGGGAGGATCGCTTGAGCTCAGGAGGTCAAGGCTATACTGAGCTCTAATCACACCATTGCACTCCAGCCTGGGTGACAGAGTGAGACCTTGTCTTAAAAAAAAAAAAAAAAAAAAAAAAATACTGTTCTTTAATCTGAATATTTTACTTCTGTCTTGTCTTTATGCGTTGTTGCATTTTGCTGTGGATCAGTAAAAACTTACCTTTGGAGTGGCTCTGTCCATGTTGGCACTTGGAAACCCCATTTCTATATGCTAAGGATGTCTGGGGCAAAGAGATCTGCCCCTGCAGAGACAAATGACCTCCGGATTACAGGAGGTGGGTAGGAAGGCATTTTGCAGGAGTAGAGAGTGTTTCTTCCATCCACTTACCCTCCCACGTAAATCTCTGAGACCCAGGCAAATGCTGCCAGTTTTAGGGAATCTTCCCTCATGGCCTCAGGTCAAAACGCAAATCAGTCGGTTCTCTGTGCCCCCACCAGGCATTGCCTGTAACCCTAAGTGGCCATTGGCTAATTCTCCCTTATAGTGGGTATGTTAGTTGGCCTGTTCTCCTCCAGTAGACTATATGCTCCCTGAAAGCAGGGGTTGCTTCTTAACCATTTCTCTGTACCCCCATGCCTTCTACATAGAACATTCTTGAACATATTCACTGAATAAAGGTGAATCCAACATCTTCCTTTTTCATTTTTTCCTCTTTCTTCCTCCCTCCCTTCCTTCTTTTCCTTTTTATTTCATTGTTGTCTCCCCAGTCTCTTCCCATTAGAACATGACTATTTCCACACTCAAGTTTCTCTGTAATTCTGCAGTCTTCTCCTTTCTTCCCCCTCCCTCCTTCCTGTAATTTCAGTTATTCAGAATGAAAATGAATGAACTGTGACATTTGCCTTTTATATCAAAATAAAAGAGAAGAAAACAAAAATAGAAGAGGGTAAAGCAAAAATAGAAGATTGCTGTCAGGCAACATACTCCCCATCCCAATAGGAAAACCATGGCCTGTCTTTCTGCCAAAGGTGACCTCTGGAATCTAGACAAATCCTGCATGCCATTGTTTTATGGGCAACATTTTCTTGTGGCCCCCAGCCATTACCTTCCCTAAATCTATTTCCTGTCTCTGTTTCTCCTTGTTTCAAATTCTCCATGTTTAACAGTTACTTCTTGCTTTTTCCTTCCATAGAACATCCCATCAGATACCATCCTCATCTCCTTGTCCTCAGATCCCATCCTTTGAGCCTCAAATCCCTGACTCTGCAGACTCTCTTCCTATGGGCCACAGAGCCCTTGCCTTGGGAAGTTGTGGTAAAGGAGGAAAAGGAAGCATTTGTGTAAACTGAAAGCTTTTCCGTGTATTTTTATGGGATGCTGAAGGTCTTGGAATCACTCGGTCTGTAGCCCTGGCATGCTCCAAAATGAGCTCTATTTCTGGGCCTGTCAGATGAAATGCTGTTGCTCCTAGTTATTTTTGGCTCTTTGCCCTTCTGAATAGGTGCATATTCAGCTCAATTCTTTCCCCCACCCTGAGCTGGGGGAAAAAGCAGGCAGCTTCCCTTAGCCAAGCCCTCCCCTGTGTCAGGAGCACTTTCCCCCTTAAGCAGCAGCTACTGACATAAGCTCTCTGGACAGCCCACGACTTACTTGTGCAGTGTCCAGGTGGGAAGCAGGGAAATCCATTCTCTGGCCCTCTTGGGCCATTAAGGGAAAGCTCTGTGAGCTGAACATTTCCAAGCAGGTGTAACCAGATGTCCAGGGCCTCCTTATTCATACCCAGGTCTGCATCCTGCCCCACCGCCATAGTTGCAGAAACTTCTGCCATCCTTGGGGGTATTGGGATAAGAAGCAGGGATTTCAGGCTCAGTGAGCACAGAAGTCCCTGTGTACTGGGTGTTTGGGGAAGAAAAGTGCACAGAATATAGAAGATCAAGGGCATGTGTCCATAGATGTAAGGACATCTTCGGGACCAGGTGCAGTGGCTCACGTCTGTAATCCCTGCACTTCGGGAGGCTGAGGCAGGTGGATCAGGAGGTCAGGAGTTTGAGACCAGCCTGGTCACCATGGTGAAACCCCGTATCTACTAAAAATACAAAAAATTAACTGGGAATGGTGGCATGAACCTGTGGTCCCAGCTACTCGGGAGGCTGAGGCAGGAGAATTGCTTGAACCCAGCAGGTGGAGATTGCAGTGAGCCGAGATCATGCCACTGCACTCCAGCCTGGGTGACAGAGCGAGACTCCGGGAAAAAAAAAAAAAAAAAAAAGATGTAAGAACATCTTTGATCTTTGATCTTCGAGTGAGCATGTTGAGAAGAACATGCGTTTGAAAAATGAATAGAGTAGAGAGAAGTTAAGGGTGAATGTCCAGATCCAGTTGGGACAATGAGTAACAGAAGAGTGAATGGGCACCGAGGGAGAGAATGTCACTATAAATAATTGAAAAGAGAGTGAGTGCACATGAGAGCTTGGGGAAAGGCAGGTTGCGCCTATAATTCATAAGCATATTTTATAACTGCATCCTGCAGCTCCAATCGCAATCTTGGGTAGGCATTAACATTGATTTAGGGCTTTTAGTCCACCTGATAATATGTAATATCAAGCACAATGAAACGTCATGATCAGCTGCGATGCTTAGTAAAGTCCATATAAAATCAAGAAACACACAGAGAAGAGGCAGCTAGAATGGGGTCCTCTTAATAGCCACTCATCTCTACAGCTTTTCATGGAGAGGTTTCTTTTTCAGTTCTTATCAAGTATTACTTTGAGGCCTTCATTCACGTAATTCTCTTGGCAACCCGGAGAGGTAGACACTGTTACTATCATCAGCCTCCTTTTACAAATGAAGAAACAGAGACGTAGGAAAGATCCCAGGTCCACAGCCAGGAGGTGGCAGAGCCAGTTTGGATTCTGGTAATTTTGCTCAAGGTCTAGTGCCCATGTCACTACACCAAACTCTTGCTACGAAGGGCCAATGGAGAGGCAACCAGGTGCATGCTGGGGAAAAGAGGTCACATCTGGGTTTTAGGTTCAGGCCTCTGCCAGCACTTCACCAGGTGCTTGAGAACATAGATTTCTATGTCAGACACATTTGTCCAGGGCAACCCACCTCCTCATAGCTGGGCTAGCTTGGGAAGATCACTAATCTTCAGGCCTCAGTTTCTGTGTCTGTAAAAATGGGACAAAGTGAATCTACCTGTTTACAGAGTGTTGTGAAGGCCAGGTAAGGTAGCATAGTGAGAGTGGTGGTAAATTGTTGAGCCTTAGACAAGAGTAAAGCATTGTGTGTGTATTATTCATACTTGCTAACTTCCAAAAAAGGCCCACAAGGAAAGATATAGCTCTTATAAGACCATGAAAAATTTTTAAAAGATTTATAAATACCTGTGGTGATATGTGTCTAATGATGACCCCACTCGTGAACCACAACTCCCATTATGGGAAGTGTTTCCCCAGTTCTTCCCCCCGGAAGTCAGCCACCATACAGCTACCAGCACGTTGTGAGAGGGCCTAAGCTAGCCACATGGATGGAGAGAGAGGTGCTCAGTCAGCCTCCAACCATCCGGGTCAGCCCAGCCCAAACGTGAATGAGCAAACCATCTTGAACATCTGTCCCCGTTGATTCTTCAGATGACTTCAGCCCTAGCCACCATCCCACTGAAACTGCAGGAGAATTTGCAAGCAAGAAGTGCCCAACTGAGTCCTGTCAG